ACTTCTGTTTTATATAATATATAAAATCAAGAAAGTCAACTGCCAAACCAACACTTTTAAATCAGTGAAATGATCCAATATTATGATGAAACATTATTGTATTAACTATACTAAAATGTATATGTAATAAACTGTGAGAAAAGTATGGTGGTGACTAAGAATTACAAAAATGTGGGACTTCCGGTTTTGCGCAGTAGCGACCAGTCACAGGCTTGCGGATTCTGTGCACCCTTGCAGCTAATTTCGCCCTGCCTGGGGACCCTAAATAGATCTAAGTCACCCCAGAGAGGCGATGAAGAAAGAAGGATCTCCAGCAATTCTGGAATGGTGGTGGCCATTCCGTTTGACTTGGGGAAAGCCTTCTAATCCAACAGGAGAAAGGCTGGCCATATTGCATCAACCAGCCCAAGCTACTTGCAATCAAAGTCCAAAAGCACTAACCAGTACAACTGTGAACAGCATGCTTGAAACTGGGTGATGAATTTGATCTTCTTTTTTCTATTTTACATTTAATTTCCTGGAAAAGATTCCCAAGAAACAAAATACCTCCAAAAGGGAAGGAGGGGGATTTCCACCCCACCCTTATACTAACGGAAGCGGCAAATTAATCTTTTTATGGAGGATCAAAATATATGGAGGTGAAATAAATATAAAACCTGAAACTTAAAACTTAAATCTGGATAAATCTAAAATTGTTTTAGTGGTGAAGACTCTCATTTCAAAGATAATTGTTCATTTGGAAATTGAAAAACAAATAGTTGCTGACACCTAGTGGCAGATGAAAACTATGACAGCTATGACTTTAATATAAATCTGGGAAAAGCTAATCTGTGTCTGTGACCTTCAAAGAATTAACAACAAAGAATAGCTGTGAAAAAAAGACAATAATCTGGGCTGTAAACAAAGAGAGAATTATAAATTTTAGGAAAAAAATCTTTTTTGAACTATTTAGATTACAAATATTTATCTAATTGGGACTCTAAAACTATTTACAGAGAAAAGAAAGGAAGAGGAAAACTCAAATGCTTGGCTATCATGGATCAGAGACATGTAGAAAGAACATATCAAGAAAACATAAATATGTCACAGGAGGAGATATATAGTATACTGCAACTAATTCAGACAACAATGACTTTAAACCACAAAGAAATCCAAAACAACTTTGAAAATATAAATCATTCTATTTCCAAGTTAACTCTACAACAAAAAAATTCCCAGAAAACAGAGAAGGAGCAGATAAAACAGATAAATGGATATAGAATTGAGAATAGAGACTTAAAGATGGAACTTAACAAAATAAGATTTAATCCTAGTGGAAAAAAATTCACAAGAATTGGAAAAAACAGCTTATCTCTTAAGTCTATGAAATAAATCTGAGGAAAAGACAACAGAGCAGATAAAATGTAGAGATGTCTGTAGAGATGTCAGGAACATTGGAAAGAAAGGAAATGATAAGAGAAGTGGAGAGAAAGAAAAAGAAAAAGATTTTCAATAAACAAGGAAAGACAGAAGTCCCATACAAAGACACTTCTCCTGATTTATTTTTTATATCTACAGCAACACTTACGAACATATGGAAAAACTTTTTGATTCAGCAAAATACATTGATTAAGAAAGATACTGGGCAAAAGAAAAAGACTAAAGTGGAAACTAAGAAAATAGATGATGGGACTTACCAGAGAGAATATTAAAAAGAAACATTTTTTGAATATTGTTAAAGAAATAGAAAAGTTTTGGAATATATATGTCACTCTAAAAGGGATGGATTCTCTAAATATAATATAGTATGCTTTTTTCCCTTTTTTGTTCTCTTTCTTGATATGTAATATAAAAAAGGTGAAATGACTCAGATAAAGGAAATGTTTAGATATTTAAATGTGATTGAATTTAAGAAAATTATAATAGATAAAAATGTTTTGAATAAGAGTTGAAGAACTAGATGACTAGATATATTAAATGGAATGTTTAAAGATTAAACATATTTTTAATTATGGTTAAAAAGAATAAGAAATTTAGGAAATAAATACATATTAGCTTAGGATGGATATATATTTTAAGTAGTATGTTATTTTTTATGCTTCTTTACTCTTGTTTTTCTTTCTTTTTTCTACTGTTTTATCTATTTTTAGGAAATGTAAAAGTGTGAGATGATTCATATGGAAAAATAGAGTTAAATTCTTAAATGTAATTAATTTTTGAGAAAATCTTAACCAGTAAGAATATCTAGAATTTGGTGGGGGGAAACAAATTAAAATAAGGACTATAACAGGATCTATGATAAGGCAACTAGAATGACTGGATAGAAAAGAAATATTATATTGATGTGATTATTATTTTTAGGACTATTGGGAAAAATATATATTTAATTGTTATCTATCAAAACAATAAGAATTGTATTAATTCAATGTTTGCAAAAGAGGATATTTTGGGAAAAGAGGAAATCAACTAAAACTATTATGTAGATTATGGATTATAGAAATCAATTGTTAGTGATTGTTTTACAAATGTAACCCAGACAACACACTGTTCACCAATTATTAAGTGATTTATGTTTTTTTAAAAAGTCAATAAAATATATTACAAATTACAAAAATGTATCATAGAATGGAGATGATTAAGACTATAGAATACAATTCCCTGCTCAGTGCACAGATCCAAATTAAAGAACTTTGGATAGATGGCTGTTGATACTCTTCTTGAAAACATCCAGTAAGGACAAATCATCATTTCTTGCATCATTGGACCCTCAACAAGCTATTTTTCCTTTAAAAGGTTTTTTGTAATATTTAATCTGGAGAAATGTTGATGGAGAATTTTGACACCTGCTATTAACTAACCTATAATTATATAGTGGGTGGATAGCTTTAGTCACATAGATCAGAGTGTAGTGCACTAAAAAAAACAACATAAAGAAAAAAGTGAAGAGTTGAACAGATACTTAAATTAATAGAATAATTATATTAAAATTTAATTTAGATAAGAAAAATTATGCTTTTGAAGCTGCAAAACTGAATTTGAAATTGTATTGTGTGCTGATGAACATATTATTGCTAAGGTGTATAAAATGTTGTTAAAGTTGAACCTGGAAAATGAATGTTAAACACTGTATGATTCAGTGGAGAAAAACTTTGATTACAATATAGTGCTTGAGTAGTGAGAAAATGTGTGGATGAAAGGGATGAAATTGACATTGAACTATAACCTAAAAGAGGATTTTTACAAAAGGATGTATTGTTGGTACTTAATGCCTGACAGATTGTTACAGATGTCTTTATACAGATGTCTTTTTATCCTATGTGGTGGACCTGTGAAAAAGTAAAGAAATATTGGGGCCAGATTCATGCCCTGATTCAGAAAATCATTAGAAAAAAAATGCAACCAAACCCAGAAACTTTTCATTTTTATGACTATTGGATAATGATCTTGGAAAAAATGCTGAACTTTCTTAATGTGTTTTTTGGCTGCAGTGAGAACTTTACATGCACAAAAATAGAAGGACATGTCAATTCCCACAATGGATGAATGGATGGAAAAAATGGTGGAACTGGCAGAGATGTCCTAATCAAGGAAATGAATCTATCCAGCTTTGTATCTATTTGGAAACTGATTCCAGACCTTGGCTTGAAACAGGAAAAAAACCCCTAACTTGGGGTTTTGATGATCAGATAGTTTGATCTGACTAGTCGTTATTAATTATATGAAAGCAAAAAGTAAAAAGTTGGGACTGTAATTTTACTCTCTAATATACTACATTGAAAGAAATTGGAAATCACTGCTTTCTTTTCTTTCTTTTTTTTCTTCCCCTCAAATTGTTTTATTTCTCCTCTTATTCACCATTTTCTTTGTCTTTATTGCCTTTGTTTCCATTTGTACTTTGTACTAAAATAAACTTCAGTAAAATCTTTTATTGGGAAAAAATATTAGAGGTGATTACAAGAGGGAACTTTCTTATTCTCATTTGTTTTTTGTACTTTAACCAGATGCTTTTATATAATATCCAGTGAATATAGAGATGAAAGTTACTATATTGCATTAAGAATTGGTGTCTACCTCAGCAACTATTCTTTTGTGACTTTTATACGATATATTATTAAACAGTCTCATTCATCCCAGAACTGTAAATTAAAATTATAATTAATAAATACTCAAATTATTTTTTCACTAATATATGAAAAGGATAGTTTAAGGCAAAAATAATAAGCAGTTTATTTATGGGGAAATAAATAAAATTTAGCATGGATAATATTATTAATATTAACAGTTACAGCAATCAGCAATGCAAATAGAAAAAGTTGAGGGAGAACACATCATGGAACAAGTCCCTTTTAATATTATTTTTATTTCCTGTAGCTACTAGAATTATAGCACACCGTGTTTTGCTAAAAGACTTTTGGAGGCAACTGGGCCGGAGTAAGATCAAGTAGTAAACACAGCCAACAAAGGTTTTCTTTAGTCTGTCCATTGCTTAACTGACAAAAAATTAATATTCAGTAAGTAATGAAAGTGAAATAATAGATTAAAAATTCAGTTTTCTTCCAATCAATCTCCCAGGGTAGATCCCACATTTATTGTCCTATTTTTCAACCAAACATCTTTTAGAAAACCCGACAAAAAGATTAACATTCTCCTACTCTCCCTGTTTGGGTGTATTTCTAGCCTTTCTTTTCTCAGGAGATCAAGGTACTCTATATACCACCATCTCTTCTGAGTGCTAAAGGTATACCTGGCAGGTTCTCCAGAGTTTTAGGCAAACATTTTAACCATAACAAGAAAAACAACTTGAATGAAAGAAGATGATTAATTGCAATATAGAGTGAGTGTTCCAATTGGACATTAGCATTCTTTTAATGTTATAGTTCTCTTTCAACTGTACATTTTTATTATATTTTTCCCTTCTCTTCCCAGTATGTATCAAGCTGTAGCTTAACTGTTTCAATTTAATACCATTCTCATTTCTGATTTCCTACAGATGTGGCATTCACCTTAGTCATAGCTTAAAGATGGAAAATCAAACAATTGTCTCTTACTTTCTGCTCCTGGAATTCTCCAAAGATCGGCATCTGCAGTTTTTACATTTCTTCTTATTCTTCATATTATATCTGGCAGTTACATCAACAAATCTTCTCATCATCTCTGCAATAGCTTTTGACCATCAACTACACAGCCCCATGTACTTGTTTCTGCTAAATTTGGCAGTACAGGATGTGGGCATTGTTTCAGCCATTATCCCTAAATCCATGATAAATTCTCTCATGGACACCAGACACATCTCTTACTTTGGTTGCTTTGCACAAGTCTTGATCTTTTCCTCCTTTGAAGCTTCTGATTTATTCCTTCTGACAGTTATGGCATATGATCGTTATGTTGCCATTTGTCATCCATTGCACTATGAACTGATAATGAATTGGAAAGCCTGCACCAAAATAGTGGTTCTGGTGTGGGTCACAAGTCTTCTCTATGGTATGTTTCACACCATTGGTACTTTTTACCTCCCTTTCTGTTCTAATGTTGTCAACCAATTTTTCTGTGAAATTCCACACTTGCTAAAACTGTCCTGCTTTGGTTTCAATCTAGTTGAAGTTGGATTCCTTGTAGCTAGTATAATCACTTTAGGATTAGGTTGCGTTATTTATATCATTGTCTCCTACACTAGGATCTTCATGGCAGTGTTGAGAATTCCTTCTGTGAAAGGAAGGCAGAAGACCTTTTCCACTTGTCTTCCCCACCTTACAGTCTTTTCAGTGTTTTTAGTAACAGTGTGCTTGGCATATTTGAAACCTCCCTCTAACACCCAATCTTACCTAGATTTCACACTAACTGCTCTATATTCCTTACTTCCACCCGTGTTTAATCCAATCATCTATAGCATCAGAAATAAGAATATCAAATCTGTTCTATATAAATTGTGGCATTTCTGATATTTTCCTTTGATAATATTTTCTGTCCTATGTTTTTCCATATCAAAAACGTTAAGGAAGCAGCCTTCCATTAAGAAAAAAACCAAAGTAGAAATTAATTTTCAAGCATCCCCAGTGTCAAAGTATTTAAGATAAAAAAATCATTAGAAGTTTGAATTACTGGAGTTTGTTTTATACATTACATCAAGACATTTTCACTTAACACCTGAATAATGAATAAAACACAGTTTCTAAGATTGAAATACCATAAATCATGAATCAGCATTATAAAAATATACTAAGTGGTCTAGCTAGTTCATCATCCAAACTTACTAGTCTGTCTGGATTGCTACATGGTTCTGATAACAGAGCAAGTCATTAGAGATTTGATCATTGTTACAAGAATTGCAAAACTGTGTAACCATGATTTAAACTTTTTAGAAGTAAAAAAACAAAAACCCAGATCTTCCTATCAGACTTCTTGCAAACTTCTCTTCTGGCAATAAATCTTGATTCTTCAAACACTAAACCCCATATTCATAAACTTGCTTGTATTTGAAGACTACAGTCATAAAGTGGGTAGATAAATACTTTATTGTAGAAATTCTTGTAAACTGTACATCGGTCCTCTCTAGTACACAGAAAACAATACATAGTCATCTATATTCCAAGGATGTATCACAGAAGTGGGCAAATTGATCAAGAGGCCACATGAGAACTGGGACTACCACTCTGCCCTCTGCTGCTGCCACCCGATCCTGATGCTGCCAACATTCTGTCCCATCCCATCCTGATGCTGCGCCACAGGCTGAATTGGAACTGCCTATGAGCCTGAGGTGGCCCTATCTGGCCAGGTCTGTTGTAGGTGATAGAAGAGACAATGAAGCCTTAATTGCTGAGTGCTTATTTGGCTATTTCTAATTCAGTTTCCTATACAATAAGCAGTGGTTAGTGGGGAAAGGGCTGAATAAATTCAGTGGAGAGAAGGTGTAAACAACAAGACCCAAAAATGCTCAAATCTATACACAGGAATCTTCTCAGACTGGATGAAACTAGATAAAGTTCAACAGCATTCAAATAAGGTCAGTTTTCATGCCCACATAGGGATTCCAGATTAATTTCCTGTTTAATTCCTCTATCTGGCTCAGTTTCTCTCCTGCAGCTGGTGGATTGTGCTTGGAATGCTGACAGCTAAATGCTAGTCAGAATATCCCTGATGCTTACTATCCAATATATTGTGAGTGTAGTAAGTGTGTCTAGGTTGAGGTGGAAAGTAAGTTTGAGAGTGGGGGAAGTTAGTGTATTGGCTCAGTGGCAGGCAGCAAAATCATGGTGCTGATGGGCAATGGAAGGAATTGTGAGAGTCAAGAATCAGCACATTCATAGTGAACTTAGGCCCAATGTCTATGGAGATTCTCAGTCATCCAGGTCATGGTTATCCCAAAGGTGCTTTTTCATGAAGCAACTGGATGTTCTTTTTTCTCTATGAAGACATTTCTCTTCTCATCCAAGAAGCTTCTTTAGCTCTGACTGGATGGTGGGGAATGTAATATTCCTTGCAGACATCATCTATCTTCAGTCTACAACACAGTCCTTTCAGTTCTAAGAAGGCTCCACACCCATTAACATTACTCAGGTGACCTTGACAATACAGATAAACCTCCAGGTAGCATCAACGACTTGCTAAAGGAATGTAAATGACCAGCTGTCTGCAAGAATATAAATCCTTCCATTCCCCACCATCCAGTCCAGTCAGAGCTGAAGAACTTTCTTGGATGAGAAGTGAAATGTCTTCAGAAACAAAAAAGGAAGTCTTGTTGCCTTATGAAAAAGCACTTTTGGGACATAGGCCCAATGTCATCACCCTCAATGTCCAATTATCAAGGCTTAGGTGAATACTATTTCTGCTTAATGCCAAATTGTTTTCTAAGACTCACCTCATTAGGGACAGGATTCTGAATTAGAGTGCAATATGGTATATATTACCAAGATATGGCATGGCACAAAGGGGTGAATTTTGATTAATGATTAATTATGTGCCATCAAGTTATTTTCAGCATCTAGAGGCATAGATTCTCTCCATGATAATCTGTCCCTAATCTGTTATTTCAGGTCTCCCATTGGTGCACTCATTGTCTTTCTGAGTTCAAGCACCTTAACTGCTGATCATCCTATTTTCTCTTTCTTTTTACTTTTCCCAGCATTACAGCCTTTTCCAAACAGTTCGGCATTCACAAAATATGTCCAAAGTAGAATAATTTGAGCATGGTCATTTGCACTTTGAATGAGAACTCTGGGTGAATTTGCCAATGGTCCATTTATTTGCTTCCTTGTCTGCCCAGAGAATTCTCAAAAATCTACTCCAGTACAAGTTCAAAAGTGTTGATACAAAGTGCAAAATTTGGAACTCCCATTATTCTGAAAATCTCATAAGCAAGAAATCTGTGGTGATAGTTATGTTTGGCACTTCATTGTGGTTTTAACAGCTGGGAAATAAAGGACATATAAATTTCTTGTATGAAAATATGATCCCATATGAGACAACATAGACCATACCTGGCCATATCCAGCCCTTTGGCTCTCTGTCTGGACTGTGTAATGTCAATTGGAAAATAGAAATCAAATATAAATGTATGTACAGCCCTCTTGGTTAGACTCTTCACAATAGCCCCAGTTTCTCACCATATCCCCTTCAGAAAACTCAATTGATATAGACAATTGTTTGTAAAAGATAATATGATAACTAAACAAAAGGCACAACTGACATAAAAAGCCACATCTAGAATGAAAAAGACAGTTCCTCAGTACCAGCTTCCTTTTATTAAAGAAGAAATGTCATAGAAGAAAAACATAGTGTGATTATGGTTATCAAACTTTAGAGAAGCATTTGATTGGGAATAATGATTTTGCCATACTTTGAAATTTTAGATATAGGCCTTTCTTCCTTACCTCCAAACCTGCAACTATGCAAAATATCAATGGATGTGATTTGATTACAAATTAATTGGATTCTCCATTTGGTATACGGTAGGAAATTTTCCATATTGTTTTGAAGACCATGGGCAGATAATAAAATATTTTTTTTATTGAAAAGTTTTAAAAAAAGTTTTACAACATATGTCCCCCCTCCCTCCCCCAACACAACAATGCTCTTACATCTATTATAAAATTCAGCATCAAATTAATTTCTTTAACATCAACTTCATAACACATTACAAGATTAATCCATAAAACTTTAATATCTCTATATGTCCACCAATTATAACTTCTATATTCCATTCACACAAATATCTTCAAATTCCAAATCATCTTTTAGGTCAATATAAAGAAGAAAAAAAAACTTTAATTAATTAATTTTGAAGGAACCCTTCTTATTTCTACTTGAATCTAAAACACAATTCCAGTCTTTTGCTATTCTTTTTTCTTTGCTCTATAAGCTGTACGGGTAATTCTCTGTTCCTTTAAATCATCTTTTATCTCCAAACACTGTTGCTTAGAATCAACCTGCAAGCTTCCTGCTGCTGATATTCCTTCAGTCAGATGTTCTTCAAACTTTTGTTCAATTCTCTTAAGTCGTGGAGACGATAGTGTACCTGCTTTCAAGACCAAAACATAAAAATCTCTTGCTTTCAAAATTGTGTCAAGTCTATGACATGTCCCCGCAAAATTCACCACTAACCCCACAGGTATATCCCATCTATATTGAACCTGACGTTTTTTCAGCTCCTCAGTCAAAAAAGCAAAATCTTTTCTTTTTCTAAGAATTTTAGAAGGTATTTCTTTCAAAATTATAACATCTTGAGATGCGATCTGGAATCTTTGCTTATAAAAAGCCTGTATAATTTCATTACGAAGTGATCTTCTGAAAAAGTAAATAACCACATCTCTTGGTAAATTTCTTTGCTTTGCAATCCGTGAATTGACCCTAAAGATTTTCTCTATCTCTCCCGAGATTTCTTCAGGTCCACAGCCCCAAATAAAAGCTAAATCTGCAGCAATTTCTTCTTTCAAATTTTCTTGCAAATCCTCCTTCAACCCTCTTATTCGCAAAGCATATTCCATCTCTCTATACTGTATCATAATAATTTCATTCTGTATTATATCAACATTATTTTCAACTTTTCCAACTCTATCTTCAAGTCTTTCCACATTCTCTACTACTTTATCCACACATTCGTCCAAATGATCTATATGAGCTGCTAACCCCTGGCAAGCCAGCAATATGTCCTTCCTCATCTCATTATTCTTCTTCTCAAAAAACTCTGCAGTTTCTTGTCTGATCTGTCTTACTATTTTTTCCAAGGCATCTTGTAAGTCCTTAAGAGTAAGTACCGGTGATAAAGGAGAGGTTGAGGGAGGCTGAGGCTTAAATTGCTGCACCTTCTGCGTTCCCGGAAAGGGTAAACCTTTAAGCAAAGCCGAAGTTCCAAAATGTTTTGAAGCCATTTTCAAACTGTGACCACTTCTATAAAACTTATTAATCTTGTAAAACCAGCATTCAAAAAAAAGGGGGGGGAAGGAGGGGATAGTAAAAAAAAACAAATCCCCCCCCCAAAAGAAGAACTTAGTCTCTAAATAAGCAATCAAATTCCGTTACATTGTTTCAACTTAGTTGCCAAGTAAAAGTGAAAGTCTTTCATAACAGGAAACAGCATTCCTCCACCATTTTCACTTCTTCCTTTAATTTAAATAGTAAATGGAGAAGATACTTTACTTATCTCCTGAGTTAAAGTCCCAAATTCTCACCATTCTGGTTCTCCCAGTCAGCTCTGTCTGCTTTCAATTTAAATCACAGATCTCTTTAAACAGCAGATGTGGAAGCAGCGTCTGGCTTTGTTCCTAAAAAAGGAACAAAGGCGTCCTGGGGTGTGGAGAAAACCCAGACTCCAAGGGAGTTCTCACCCCTCATCCTCCAAAAAAAAAGAATGTGGAGGAGACGGGGAACTCTACCTCTATCTGGGAAAACTCACCCCTCCCCCTTCGCCCGGAGAACGAGGCTCCAAGCCGAGAAACAGCTGATG